TACGGGTGTGATTGATACAATTTACCAAGGACGAAGAGGAAGAGGAGGAGGAGGAGGAGGAGGAGGAGGAGGAGGAGGAGGAGGAGGAGGAGGAGGAGGAGGAGGGGGAGGAGGAGGAGGAGGAGGAGGAGGGGGCAGAAGGAAGGTGACATGTTTCCAGTATCATGCGCTGAAGCATGGGCGAGTGAAAGGGTTGGATATCACGGACCTCTTCCGCAACAACAGGTGCTACTTCGCCTTCTCCTCTTCTTTCGCGCCCTTGCCCTCTGCCTCCCTTCCTCCTCCACTTCCTCCCCCTCCTGCCTTCGTCCTCGCGCACCCTTACTGGAAGGCAGCAAATATCTCGCGAAGATGCGACGGGAGGGAAAAAGGCTACACACGAAGGATGGATATAACACGATCGACCAGGTAAACTATCAGGTTGAGACTGTTGCAGCAGCAGCAGAAGAGGAGGAGCAGGAGCAGGAGGAGCAGGAGTAAAGTTCAAGATGAGGCAGGAGGCAGGAGGCAGGAGGCAGGAGGCAGGAGGCAGGAGGCAGGAGGCAGGAGGCAGGAGGGAAAAGGGAGGGGCTGGGACGTGAAGATGATACTGCAGGTCTCCAAGGTCGTCCGGGTCGTCACGGGGCCTGTGGCAGCAGCAGGTGACGTGCTGGGGACGAGCTGGGCATGTCAGTGACGGACAGCAGATGTACCAGGAGACATGAAGGTCATCCCTGATGTCAGTTACGACCACCTCCTGGTCGATGCTCTAGATGCAGAAGGGCAGCCGTTCCCTCTATGCTCGACCCTCTTCGACCAACACTCGCAAGTAGGATGATGACTATGACGACGACGATGGAGGAGATGGTGGTGAAAGGGGAGAAGGAGGAAGGGGAGAAAGGAGGTGGAGGAGGAGGCTGGAAGGTTGTGCTAGATTTCAATCTATGTCAACAGCGTCCTTAAACTTCTTAGATGACGTTCGGGTGTTTCCTCCCTTCTGTTCGTTCTTACTCTTCTTCCCCTTCTTCTCGTCTCGTCCTCGCTGCTCCTCTCCCTTCCGCTTCTTTTCGCCCCCTCCCTGCCCAGCTCCTCCCTTGCCGTCGACCTCGCCCCGGATCCTTTCGAAACGAGCAACGAAAAAGCCGTTGGTGGAGTCCTGGACACAGTCACCGACATGACGAGAGGAGGGAGGAAGACGAGTAGCGTCAGCATGCCACGCGGAAGGAACGGGTGTGTGAGTTGGGGGAGGAGGAGAGAAAGGGGACAGGGTTGACTGGAGGCGGAGGAGGAGGAGGAGGAGGAGCAGCAGCAGCAGGAGGAGGAGGAGCAGGAACTATACTGACCTTGTCGTGACTTGCTCGCACGCACAGAGGGCCATGAGGTCCGGCAGTCGCGAGGCCCCGATGAGGCCAGGAGGGGATGGCAGCCACCTGCTTGAAGCTCCTGGTGGCCTGTAGGACCTTCGCCACCACGTCCTCGTTCTCCTCCTGGTGTACGCTGCACGTGCTGTACACGACCACCTCTGCCTTGGGCAGGGACATGGCGTCAAGTACGAGTTTGACCTGCTCGGCTGCGAGAGAGGCGATATTGTTCCCGTCCTGCTCGTCGTGCTCGTGGCTCTGCTCCTCCTTCTCCTCCTCTCCTGTCTGCACGCCTGAGCTCGACCCATGATACTGCGCGACCAGTCCGCTGCCGGAGCAGGAGGGGTCAACGAGGAAATGCGAAGCCTCTCTGAGGAGGGAGGAGGTGGAGCTGGTGTCTCCTGCGATGGCTCGCCTGGCAGCATCCGAGAAGTCCTGGCCGTGCACTTCAACGACGTCGTTGCATCCGAGCTGCGGAGAGATCAGGAGAAGCAAGGGCAAGGCAGGCAGAGAGCAAACCTTGACCATCTGCTTACGGAGGACAGACTCACGGACCTTGTCCCTCTCGAATGCGAGGATCTGCAGCTCGAGCATCACAACTGCAAGCCGGCACACAACCCCGGCACACAACCGCTCCCTCCACCGCCCCCTCCGTCCCTCCGTCCCTCCGTCCCTCCATCTCCCTTCCTTGCTCCCTCTTACCTGTCCTTTCTTCGCCTCCTTCCCTGTGGCTCCTTCTGCATGCTCACATGTCAGGCAGTCAGCTCCTTCCGCTCCCTCCCTCACCCAGCAGAGCTTGCGAGTGAGCCTCGTACAGAAGAGCCGCCACGTGCGACGTCTTGTTTCCCGGGGCTGCGCATGTATCTACACAGATGGCGCCAGGAGGAAGGGGGTCGAGAGCTACGGCAGACAGGCAGGAGGAGCGATCTTGGAGGATGATCTCTCCCCCATGGAACATCCGATCGGCGAAGAGACTCGTCCCAGCAGGGAAGGCCAGGAGGTTCTTGATGATGCTGTCCATGACGATGGTCCCCTTGGGCGGCTCCACCATGTTGTTCTTCTTGGCCGGGGCCGCGTCAGCCGTTTGCTTCTTGCTCGACTTTTCCGACGGGACGGTTTTGACATTCCATCCCTTGAGCTGAAAACTTTGCAGGACAGACTCCATGTTTGTCTTTCTGACGTTCACTCTGACGTACCGAGGGAGGCGAATCTTCTCTGCATACGCTGCCGCCTGCCCCTTCTTTCGTTTCTCCGCTAGCGTCTTCTGCAGGTTCGCCTTGTTCCTCTTGACGATGTCAACTAGAGGAGCAGTTCCCCGGACCCTCCTGGAGCCCAGCAGCGCCTCGTACTGAGCAAGGTGAGAAGTCAGGCAGAGAGAGATAGGCAGCAGATCCCTCCACTAAGGCAGACGCACCAGAAGCACGAGGAGAAGCTTGTCGTCCGGCCGGAGCATCGAGCTTGGTATCTGCGACATCAACCCAGACTCTCGCGCGACCGTCAGCAGCAGCTCCTCGTTCTTGAGCACGCCGAACACGATAGCCTGCAGTTGAGGCTTCGCGGAAGCCGGAAGCTATGCGAGAGGTCAGCAGTGAAGGAGAGGAGAAAGGAGTGAAAGGTGAGGTGGGGAGGAGAAAGAAAGGAGGGGAAGGGAGAAGGGAAAGCGACGGGAGGGAAGGAGAGTGAAGAGCCATGTTCACTTACATCCATCGAGTACAGGACCTGCCTGACTCCCTCTCCTCTCTTGCTCTTCCTCAGCGCCTCCGCCGCTCCATCGCACACCCCCTGCGCTCCCATCTTCACGTGCTCCCCCATAATATGCCTTTAACAGACCCTCATACCCGCTCATACTTCCCAATTTTCCCCTTTCAAAGTTCTGTGCCCAATCCCTTGCCCCTCCTCCCTCCCTCCCTCCTCCCTCCCTCTGCGCTCTCGTCTCACAGTCTTCTTCTTCCTCTACACCCTCGTAGCTCCATCGGTCTTTCTCCTCCTTTCCCTTCTCCTTGCTTCGTTGTTCTCTCTCCTTCTCTGCCATCACCCTGTTGCCCCGCCTCTCCTCAGAATACGTGGAGGTCTATTATTTCAGTGCAGCTTAACTAGCTCTACCTCGCCTATCTCTTGTCGTGCTGTCTTGGCCTATCTTCCATCCCGATGTACTAGTTGGACAAGCATGTCATACAGGCCACACAAGAGGAAGAGGGCAACACGCCTCGACGGGAAGTGTGTTGAGGTGACTTGTAGCGGGCTAGTTGGTTACTTGATGATCGTATTCTCAGGTTGTTGGCGACAATCTGCAGCAGGCGTTCCATCCTGAAAGGCTCCCTGCTTCAATCTCATACACAAGTCGATGGAGTATCGTGATCCCGCACCCACCTGACTCCTTCGATCAACACAAGGATCAGTTCCTGTCCGAGTACTGCAGGAGGAAGGAGCTGACGAATGTCAGAATCGTCGGAACAGAGAGTGCGAATGATTCCAATCAGATGAATGACGCCCCTCCCTCTACGAGGGTAACCCTCGAGCTGCAAAGAAAATTGCTACCACGCAAGGAAATATTGAAATATCTTTGTGAGAGCCCTATCCTGGTTCCGCTGCCTCCAGGTGCACTCTTTTCCTCTCTCATCGCTTCATTACTTCCGCCTCAAGTGACGAAGATACAGGCTTTCTTGATGACACCTGGACAGAGTTGAATTTCAGCGGCTGTGTTCTGCCGGACAAACTTCTTTCACAGGTTTTGAACGCGCGGAAGTCAGCAGCCTATACGGTAGACTGATCATGCTTGACTCAGGTAGGATCGGTAGTTCCAAACCTTGAGAGTATCGACTTGAAGCAATGCTCTGGAAATGAAATCTTAGGGACCGGAGGATTTGAAGCGTTGTGCGAAGGATGTCGGCAGCTGCGGAAAGTGAATCTTGCGGGGATTATGACCCTGAGAGACGAGCAACTTGCATGCATGCATAAACTTGGAAGCAGCCTCAGATCTGTCGACCTTGGTGGTAGCGTGTGTTTGTCCTCCAGCGCTCTCGCCACGTTTCTCATGGTGATTGGTGTCTCCTTTCTCTCTTTCACGACTTACTGGCCGACATCTTGTAGAGGGCGGGGAAGAACCTGCAGGAGCTGGATCTTTCAGGGTGTCAAGTGAGCGACGAAGTGAGGTACTCTATATCCGTGTATCGACACTTACAATAGGCAGGTTATCCTATCTTTGATTGAAAACTGCAAAAGCTTGACGAGCCTATCACTTGGTTACTGTGAAGCGACTCATCATGCAATGGCAATGCTGTTTCGAAACCTCAAGAAGGTGACAGTGTTGAGACTTGTACGGTGAAACCACATGTTTATTCCCGATGCACACTCTCTCTTACGACTTTTCCAGATCCTTTCCTTCAGCAGAAATGGAAGGAAAGGATGTGGCGTACAAGAGAAGTCGAGCTATGATTCTTCTGATTGCGCGTCATATGGGCGAAAATCTATTACATCTGGACATTACAGGTCGGTTCTATAGGAAAAGGAGGCGAATGTCCATTTACGTGCCCTCAGGCTGCAAAGAGGTCAAGCCTGATGAAGTTGTGTATCTACTGCAACATTGTCCCAACCTTCAATACCTCAACTTGAAGTATTTCTGCTCAGGACGATCATGGAAGAAAGTTTCGGCTCATTTTCATGCCAGGTATTGCACTTCGTTGCCACCGGAATTCCTGGAACAAACGGTACCCGCCATACTTCCAGGCTTGTAAGACTCCCAATGCCGATGCACCAAGTTTGAGCGCACGTGACAATGTCTTCACAGGAAGACGCTTGAGCGAGATCGTCCACGGGTCGATTCAGTCACCCTTACCAAGGACTGACGTGCTGAAACGCAAACAAACGAGCGAAGATCCCCCATCCCATGTTCCCGCCATGGACATCAAAATCTTTGATAAAATAAATCTTGTACGGGTGGTTTATCCATAGGATTGAGGGGTAGGGGAGAGGAAAAGAGACCCGCCATCGGGAGCAGGGGAGAAGGAGAGGGAAGGAGGCCGAAGGGGAAGGAGTGGGGATGCGGGTATCTTTGCGCTTGGGGCAATATCAGTGCACATGAGATCCATTCGATGCCTGATGATTGCTAGTTGAAAACTACTCCAATCCCCGCGACGAGCCTCTGGCCGTCGCAATTTTTGACGGGCCTCACCGGCCTTCTACTCATAAACAAAAAGAAGTTTCCGTGCTCGAAAGACAAATGCGGAGAATATTTGTTGTTATTCGAATGTTCGAAATGTATGGCAAATTTATTTGTACATCTTCAGTATCATCTTCAATAATTGTCTAATAACTTTTTCTTATATTTGTTTGAAAAGAAGGCCGGTGAGGCCCGTCAAAAATTGCGACGGCCAGAGGCTCGTCGCGGGGATTGGAGTAGTTTTCAACTAGCAATCATCAGGCATCGAATGGATCTCATGTGCACTGATATTGCCCCAAGCGCAAAGATACCCGCATCCCCACTCCTTCCCCTTCGGCCTCCTTCCCTCTCCTTCTCCCCTGCTCCCGATGGCGGGTCTCTTTTCCTCTCCCCTACCCCTCAATCCTATGGATAAACCACCCGTCCTCGTTCTTGAAGTTGGACAAGTTTGTCGGAGAAAAAATGGCTCAGGCGCTTTTCTCGCATAGCACGAGGAAGGGGAAGAGATTCTAGTGGATTGGGAAGGAGAGGAACGAAGGGAGAAAAAGATACTCTGTATCAAGCTCAGTTACAGGACGGGAGATTACCTCAGACGCCTCGATCTCAACATTTAGGGATCCTCAACACAGTCACAGTGCTCTCGAAAACTTGTATACGTTGAAATCTTTATTAACGATACCAACAAGTTGCTGCAAACCGATCTTCCTTTGTTGGCATAACCTTTTTTTTTTTGGCGTAAAGGTCATGAAGAGTTTCGAGCCGATCAAGATTTACCTGATGATGCACACACCCTGAAAGAAAGATAACTAGCTTACCTTGTGAAGGCGCGACCAGCTCAAACCCTGCCCCATGAAACTCTCGCTTCCAGATTTTCAATTCACCTGTATAACACTCATCTCGTCTCTCGGATGTTCAAAGACTCATGTGCAAACCTTCATGGGCAGGTTTCCAGTCAGCATTGCAATAGAGTATAGCTGTAACCCTCCTCTGAACTGAAGTTTCGTCGCTGCCATCGTCCGGAAGTGCGTCGGTGTGTTTCAAATATCCGGAACTTTGTCCGCCACCTTTGAAGCAGGAGAACTGAAGCTCGCGTTCGCCCCTTAGCTTTATCCGTGAGGAAAGTTCATGGCCCAGAGCATCAAAGAAATCCAACAGAAAGCTGAATGGCCCTGAAATGATACGCTCCGAGTCTCGGTTTATCCACAGAATCAGATCAGACCTTACACCGTTCAGTTCACCATGAGAACCTTGCTCAAGAGGTAAATACCTGTAGGTTGCTGGCCCTGGAAAGAACCACTTGTAATCGCCGGGGCACGTTCCTGTCTCGCTTGTCAACGTGAATTCTCAAAACGAATTGCTTGCCTTTGATTGATGAGGTCACGTCGTGGTCATCCCGTCCCGCCAGAGAGGAGGTTGCCTCCTTGATGATTTCCTGAATTCGATCATTGTACTTCAAGCACTCCATGGTCACATATCCTTGATCTTGAATTGCATGGAAGTTCTCTTCCGATATTATCTTTTCTTTTAGGGAAATTCTAGCTAATGGATCATTCTCTTGAGCATAGAAAAGCTTCTTGCATACGCTGAATGCATCAGAGGTGTATACATCGACGCCTTCTATTCGTGCTTCTTGAATTTGATCCTCCAGGAGATGCCGATTGTTTTGTAGCAGCTGCTCTGCAGACTGCACACCTTCTTCTGTTCCGTTGCCTTCAAAGACACATTTGGCAGTGATAGATTCCAGACCAAAGAACAAGGGCTCGGTACTGTACCCAATCCACTCTAGTTCATCTTGCAATTTCTCACAGGAAGGAAGGAATCTATTGCATTTTGCGTACACTGTTATGCAGTCTGTTTCTGATGTGTGGTAAACTAATCGAACGTAAGCAACTAATCTCATGTGTTAGTTTTCAGCCAGAATTCTTGCTCGCACGATGATAGAAAAGAATGTGATTCGTCTAGTGTTTGTTGGATCGCTAAGACCTGAAGTGAATGACTTGTTGTATTGCGATTGTTGCTGTGCGTGAGCTCACATGATCGTCTTCATGCCAATACTTGTGCTTCAATCTCCTTTCTCTTCGCTTGACCTTGGACCATCCCTCAGTCGAACATGAGCATGCGCACTAGCATCCTTCACAAGTTGATCACCCTACCCCCTATGACCACCTCCTTCCCAGGTCATCGCCCCCTATCCCCTACCCCATGTCCACTCTATTGCCCCCCCAGTCAAAATGGTTCTACCCCTTTAAACGAAATCGCCACCCCCTACCCCTCTTGTGTACTACCCCATGTTCTTCACTCACCCTAGGAACTTTACTCAAAGTTAAGTTAAAAAGTTAGAGCTTGACTCAGCCTACTAGTAGGCTAGTAGCCGTTCACAGAGTCCCGGCGGCCTCGGACTCCGCCCGGCCGGGAGTCTGCCCGAGCGGCTCAGAGTCGCCGGGAGTACGGTCCGCCTTTGGTCCGAAGGCCCGGGCCCCGGGCGGCCGGATCCGATCGGATGCCAGGGCATGGGCCCGGGGCCGCGTCCGCGACCGGGCCGACCGGTCCGCCCCCAGGCCCACCGTCCGACCGTACAGGCTGCGGCGGCCTCGGAGGCTCGGACTCCCGGAGGCTCGCCAGCCGGGCCCTGCGGCCGCTGTGCGGCAGCCGGGGCGGCCACCCGGTGGCACCGTGTGATCGGACTCTCCGACGACTCGGTCAGGCCCCGCCTCACTGCGGCCGGAGTGCGCCGCGGGCACTGTAACCCGGCGGGCGCGCGGCGCCCCCGGCCCGGCGGGCCCCGCCGCCCCCCCCTCCGGGCCCCGCCGCATTACCGTTCAGTTACTGCGAGTCCGATCACCGAGTCAGCCGACGGTGGCTCACGGTCAGACCAACTGAGGTGCTCTTCATTGAAACCTTACTTAAGTTAACTTAAAGTTACGGCGTCACGGTCCGAGGCGGCGGTAGCCTGCCAGTCACGGCGGGTGGCAGGCTACCGTCGTGCTGCACAACACGGCTTCATTCTGAAATCATCACAAGTTACTAGTGACAGTCACTGAGTCACCGTGTGCCAGGGGCCCAGGCTTTGACAGTGACTCAGTGATGGCAACCCGGCAGCGTGTGAGCCCGGGCCGTCACCGTACGGTGAAGGTCGGACCGTTGCTCGAAGCCCGCCGCCGCGGCCCGCCGCAAACTTGAATTCGCAAATTCCGAGTTCCGGTTCGGAAGTTCCGTTCAACGGCGTGACTAGCCTGGGCGCGGCCTCACCGGGGGCCCGCCCGGGCGGCGGGGCGGGTACCGTACCGCACTGTACCTCACTGGCTAAATCATCCGCCGATCATTGTCAGTGACGCCCGGACGCCGTCGGTCGGACTCCCGTGCACGGGGGCGCTGGCATCTGATGTGATCCGCCATCATGCCACTGATCATGTACTAGTCCGGTCATGGCATCGGCGGATGCGGCACCCCGGCGGAGTACGGTCCCGGCGGCCCGGGCACCGACCGGTGAGCCGCCGGGCGACGGTGACGGCTGCCGCGCCGCGGCCGCGGCGTCCGAGGGCCGAGCACTGTCATGAGCCTCGGAGTGCCGCCCGCCGCTGTGCGGCCCCGGCGGCCGCCGGCTGTGATTGTACTCACTAGATCACTTGTACGTGTCACTGGCGAAGAAAGGATGTGTTTGACAGTCCAGACCGATCCGAAACCCATAAACGATTCCGCTGGCGACAAGGACGAGTAGAGGGAGATGGACGTAAATGCCCCAGTAGTGCTTGATGATGATGTGAGTTCGGTTGCTCCACTGCACTCTTGGGATGCGATACCTGCGAAGTACAAGCATGTCAGCTGCAGGGACCAGCAAGAGGGGCCTGTCAATTACTTGGTCTCTCCTACGTCTTCACGGATGGGAGCAGGACAGCACTGCCATCTCAATCACCAACACTCACGGCAGTAACAGAACAGCAATTCCTCACCGATTCAAAGACGATTTCATCTACATTCAGCACAAACATCACTGCCACAGTTGACCGAATGACAAGATCAACGGTTGGAGAGGTAGAGATCCACAAAACTCCAGACACCAAGATCGCAGTCCATGTGAAGATCTCAGTCAAGACAGCAGTGGAAAATATCGCAAGCCTTAAGTAAAAGTTGGCATGCAAATGTTTTGCTTCAACGGAATCTTCGGCTGTTTCTAATGTTCCAACCTTGTCCCCATCGCCAAGTTGATGATGCGTACTAAATAAACAAATGCTAACAAAGTATGAAAATCAGTAAACCTATTCACAATGAATGAAGAGGAGAAACTTACATAGATTGATTCCGCATGTTTCCAACGTTATTCCACATCTGCCATCAGAATCACACAGATCGCATTAATGGCAGGAGATCAACAACCCACCAATGTAATAAAAATCATAACCCCACATATCTGCAATGAGGACGGAATTTCACAAATTTGAGTGATCACATCTGCGTTCTCCAAGTCCGGTACATGAATGAGAAACAACTGAACAGAAAATACAATTTGAATACATATCGAGACAATTAGCATGGTGCCGCACAGAAATGCAGCTCGAACGTATCCTGTTTGAAGACCCACGTGCAAGAAGGCTCCATAAGCATTTTGCGATACTTTGACCCAAGAAACCGAAGGATTGGATTCATCATCATCTACACTGTCACCATTATTCTCGTTCCCTTCCTGGCTTTCTGTTGGATTCTCCAATTGATTCTCTCTCTCCTTTTCTCTCTCCTTCTTCTTTCCCTTCTCCTTCTGCCTCTCCGCATTTTCTCTTTCTTTGTTCTCATACTCTTCCTCAGCGATATTTTGTTGATCTGGTGCGACTTTGTTATGAAAGTTTGAATCCTGGATGATAGATTGATGGCTTGCTCCAACTTGATTATCAAACTTCGAGTGCATTCTGTAAGGGATCCTTATCGCATGCGAGCGAGCCCACCAATTGTTTGCTGATGCAATTGCCTTGGAAGTTGTCTTCAATTTTCTCAGCTTCTCCTGCCGACGATATTCCTTCGCCTCTGCTTCTGTTTGCGCTGCCGTCGAGTCGCGAGCTTCAACCATTTTTTTTAAAAGGTTGACTTGATCACAATAGTAATCGAGATACCCCCTCATCTTTTCAACTTGAGAATGAAGATCGTCATCCTCACTCAATGAAGAGAAGTTTTTCAACGTTTCTTGGTTCGAGCTTGTTGACACGTTGAAAGGGGTATCGGAATTTGGGCTTGCTGTTTCACAATGCCCCGCATAGTCATTGGCACGATCACCTGTAGCAGCTTGCATGCTGTACTTATCAGCAAACAGTCGTTTGCAAGTCTGGATTGAGGAAATGCAACGCGATTCTACAACATCACCAAAATGCACCCCATCGCCTCGGTTCGCTGACAGGCACAGAACCGTAGTACCCTGTAAGAAACAGAAGAAAGAACAATCAGGGCTCTCAATCATACAAGACACGTAGAAAATGAAAATGCGAACAGTTCCGGCAGGCAGAGAGCTTCATGAAAAATTTGATGTAGCTCTGTGTGATGAAAGCAAAGCAGTACCACAGGAACTCAAAGTGCAAGTGAAGTCGATGAACAAAAATGATAGATACTCTCATGGTAGCAAAACAAATACCACAGAATGAGGTTTGCAAGGAAGTATATCAATTTTTCAACAAACATGGGGGGATAAGGGCGCAGGAAGAAATTCGTAGACAACAAACACCACTTCGCAGTCTAGCATTGTGCAGCCGAGTACTGCGCTCAGAACTCCGCAACGAGGCCAATGAGACGAAGGGGGGATATGAAAGGAATGGAGGGAAAGTGAGGAGAGGAAGAGGAGGACCGAGAGGGATGGGGAGGACGGGAGAGGAAGCGCGCGACATTGGAAAGTGCAGGGTGAAGCAGCAGACGGTTTTCATCTCAATGTGCAGTTTGTACCCCTACCCCCTGAAACGAAATGAGCACCTCAGTGGATCTGGGGTAGGGTATAACATTCCTATTGCTACGAGTGATAGCACGGTAGGACCGATGCTGGCTAAAACTCAGATTGTTAACTGCTCGGTGTCAATTTAAAACTGTTAGCTAGATGCTTGCCCGGTGAAGATAGTCCTTTGCTAGTGACTTTAACCCGTTTCCCCATATATCACCCCCTTCTTTAGTATGGATGAATCCGGTTACCTCCTTCACCTCGAAAGCCAAACAAACAGACAGACTTGTCTGTCACATATAAGTGTATTGTTATTGGTTTTTGGTTTTAAAAGTTCTATGTAGGCTGGGCTCTCTCTTCATTAGCTAATTTATTAGGTAGGTACCCCACGGAGGACAGCCCTAGCGCCTTTAGTCACCGGTAAAAAGTAATAAACATTTCGAAAAAATAATTGACTTATACAGATCATACACTACATTTTTGGAATTATAGAGTGCTTTATAAATATTGTACAGATTTGTACGGGTAATGTGACCCTCATCCCTAATCTCATTAGCAGGTATGGAGTGATTTTTAAAAAAAAACATTCCCCAGAAATTCGCTCCCCACCCCCCTTGGTATGTATGACCCTACCATCATGACACGCAACTGATTATATGGAAAATGACCCCATACTCTGAAACCAATTACTCCTGGGAGAACCGGGTAGGTACATTGACAACAGGGGTAGCTGTGGACAACCGGGTTAGGTCGGTTTATCCGAAAGACTCGAAAAAAAATTAAGGAGGCGAGATGTCACCTCTAAAAAGGACCTGTAAGGACCGAGCCCGCCCCGTCGTATACGGTCGGAGTTTTGGTCCCTGCCGGGGCCCGGACGGCCCCGGCCCGCCGATCACTAGTGACATGCAGGGGCCTGATGAACTTTTGCAGGTTCTATGAACTTCAAGTGTTCATTTCAGGAACTTTTGACATGTGCGATTCTGCTTGTAAGTGGGAAAGACGAGCAGAGCAACGAGCAGAGCAACGAGTGAGCCAAGAGAAGAGGAGAAGAGAAGAGGAGAAGAGAAGAGGAGCTGAAGGCAGGAGCAGGACGACGGCGGTTTCAACCTTTAGCTGCGCAGGAACGATCCTTCGAAGTGTTCCTGGACATTCATTCCCTGAATTTCTGGGGTATCTTTCCTGAGGAACATCCATCGTTTGATACAGAACATCTTTATCAGCATTGTGCAACATGAACGATACGGCAAACAAAGTCATCAAGTTTGCTGATGCTCAATGCCTCCCCATCGGCCTTGTGTCTGCAATCATCTTCGGCATTGCAGTTCCGATTGTTGGATATAAAGTTGGGTCGGGGAACGTGAGTGTTCGAGACTCTTGTTTTGACATCATACTCGTGACCACATCCTCTTGACAGTATGCGGGAGTTCTTTGCGTCGTCATTATCTTCTTCTTCGCTGGCCTTAAGCTTAAGACGGACGAATGCAAGACTGCGCTCAAGTCCTACAAGGTCACGACGGTGGGGTTGGTGAGATAAGTTCCGCAGGAGGTCTCTTTGACTTTGACTTGACGGATCTTTCCCAGCTCTCCATTCTCGTCTTCACCTGCATGCTCGGCTCTGCGCTCACCCGAGCCGTTCCTCTCGATCCTGTAGATTTCAAACTCGGTATCTGACGTCATCTTGCAAACGCAGTTGCTCACGTAGCTCGGCAGGGATGATCATATTCTTTTGTATGCCATGCACAATCAACAGCGGTTCTGTGCTAGCAAAACAGGTGAGTGTCTCTGCTACTCCTCTGATGTTCGAGCACCAAGATTATACTTCACCCTCTTTCTTTCCTCCATTGCTCACTTTGCTGATGCGATTACAGGCCGGTGGAAACTTTGCTTCAGCTCTTCTCCTGACTGTGATGGGGAACATGTTGGTGGGCACTACTGAGCTGCTCGCTGTTTCTGCTTCTGATCTCGATGCTTGCAGGGAATTTTTACTTGCCCTCTCCTGTTGTGGTTGTTCGCTGATCTGCAGAATGTGAGACTGGATGCAAGAGAGGATATTGAGAGTGATGGAAGTTGCGACGATGACGATGACGATGACGACGACGACGACGATGACGATGACGATGATGATGACGACTATGGTGTGCATGATGGTGATGGTGATGAAGATGACGGTGATGATATTCTTGGCGGCGACAGCCACGACTGCAAATGTAAAGACACCGACTACGATGCTCATGATCGCTTTCAGGTTTCATTTCCTGTTGGCAGCATGGTTTGGAAGTTGTGTCTAACAGGTTAACATTGCTATCTCTGTTCCAACAGTCCGTCATCTAGACCTAGTATTTGTTCCCTTGATCATCGGAAAGCTGCTTCAGGAACTCCCTACCTCCGATCATCTTGTTGGAGCTTTCTTGGCTCTCCTCCCGCTGATCTGAAATTCCGGAACAGGTCAAGAGGACAGTTGCAACGTACAACAAGCACATCACCTACGCTTCCAACGCTCTCCTTGTAATGATTCCATGGATGAAGATATCAAAATCCGTCATTGATGGAGACTTCCAGAAGGTGAGAACAGCTACCATCGTTGCAAAGTGAAATGACTGGAAGAGATTTCAGGCAAGCGTCTTCGACATGCTCGTAGTGCTGCTGTGGACATCGTTTATTCACATCTTATTCTTGGTAACCTCACTCGTGCCCCACTGCCACTGCCCCTGCTCCTGCTCTTCTCCTCATATTTGCCTCACTAGATTCTCAACTACGGGCTATCCGTCCTCTTGAAGCTCGAAGTCCCTTTTCAAAAAGCTGTTGTGCTCGTTGGCAGCTCGAAAACCCTTCCAATGGCATTGACGGTGAGGAACTTCCTCTGTCTTGCAAGCTCTTCATTCCTGCTCCTCTTCAATTTTGTCCTCTTCTCCTGACTGCGTTTGATGCAACTAACCTCCTCGCCAGGTCCTCACTTTCCTCCCTCCCGATGCAGGCAGCCAACCCCTCTCCCCTCCCAACCTCTGCATGATCCTTCACTGACTGCAAGGCCGACAGGTCAGGATGGGCTCGTGGCGATCCCTTGCATCATCGGGCACATGGGACAAGTAGGGCGATGCACTGACGTCATTATCACTGACATCTCGGCGCCTTATCAGATCGTCATTGACGGCTTCGTCTCATCTGCCTGGGCAGCGCACACCAAGGGTGAAGTTTGAGGTTGCTGAATAAGCGCATGTGACCTTGTGGCAGATTCCCAGGCGAGCAAGACGAATCAGATTTCTTTACCTTCTTCTCCTCCTCATGAGCCCGCGGTCAAGGAAGGTGCCAGAAACTCTTGCTCCTCCTCTCCTTCCCTGAGAGTCTCGTCTTGTTGACAGAGGCAGACACAGCGCCCATGGTCAAGAATGCGGAGCTGGCGGAAAGCAAAGCATGAATCTGATAGCACTCATTATTGTTTCAAACAAAGACATATTTCTGATAAGATTGGAGCGGGGGACGATGATGGAACCGAGAGGAGCTAGTACAGAGATTGCCAGCAGGGGGGACAAGCAGGAGCAGGAGAAGCAGGAGCTTCAAGCAGGGGCAGGAGAAGCAGGGGCAGGGGCAGCGCGAAAGTTGCTTTGCCTTGCTTGCGAACTCTTGTTGACATTATAGTACCCCCTTACATAGCTTAAATTTATCCTTGAGAGAACCGGTAGTACACCATGACATTCAGGAGGCATGGGTCGGACTGTGCTGTAGGATAGGGGAAGCGAGCGAGTAGGGGAGGAGAAACGGGGAGAGGAAGCGAGAGGAGGAGGGGGAGAAAGAGAGAGAGGAGAAGGGCTTGTGAACGATGACGATGCTAGTGGTAGAAGGGAGGAAGGAAGGACTTGAGGGAGATGGAGGGGGTGGGGCTCCACGTGGCTTCGTTTGCTTGATTTGAAGCTAGATGCACGGAAGAGAAGGAGCAAGAGCAGGGGCACAGGAGATGAGCAAGAGGAGAGACAGGGACGAAGAAGAGGATCAAGAGACTGAAGCATTTAGCAAGGAGGATGATCTCTGCATCCGGGGGGCGAGGATAGTGCCAGCCTTACATCCTCGAACTCTCAATACCGCTGCTGCATCCCATGCACTTCTAAGCATGCCATCAGGGAGGCAGGAGAAAGACCATTCAACATCTTGTAGCAGCGCATGTCGCTAGGCTTCGGCTTCGAGTACAAGACGCCGGAGGAGGCGGTGGTCACCGTGGTAGAGCCAGGAGGGCCAGCGGATGCGGCAGGGTGAGCCTCCTCTTCTTCGTGAAGATTCCTTTCTTGATCTCGATGACGCAGAGTGAGAGTCGGGGACGTGATCCTTCAAGTCAACGGCGAGCCCGTCCAAAACCTTCCTCGCGGCCTCAAGGAGACGCTGACCATGGGAGGCCTTGAGGTCAGCCTCCTCCTCCAAGCACAGGAGCAGCTCCTGAGCGCTGGCACGTGGGGATTCATCGGGATGGGAAGTCTGCGATCGAGACCGCAGGCAAGGAGGAGGAAAGGCGGTGGGGAGGGGTGGGGGGGGTTAGGGGGCGTTCGAGGACAAGGACAAGGAGGAGCACGAGGAGAGGGGGAGAGGAGAGTACATCTGTGCAAGGAGTGACATCATGCCAGCCAAGGTCGGTGACCATTCGTCGACGACCTCACAAGTCCCCGGGCAAGAGTAGGGAGGTAGGTCAAGTTTCTTGCTCCCTTCACCCTGTTCACGAGGTGATGGCATGCAGGACGTCTCGCTGCCTCCTGCTGCTGCGGCCCATCGTGAGGTCGGACGGGAGTGCTTCCGGCAGGGCAAGTGGGACGAGGCCTCACGAGCTTTCACGGTGATCCGATGTGACGACTGCTTGCGAACGTGACCTGTTGGCTGCAGGAAGCGATTTCAGTGTGCTCTGACTCGCACACGCTCTATACCAACAGGGCACTCTGCCATCAGAAGTTAGGACGGTGAGCCGCCGTTGCGACATCAGAGAGGGGAGGAGGGAGGGAGTTGGAGGAGGGAGGATAGGAAGAAAGATGGATGGTACAAGAGTCAAAGTTTCGGGACAGGTGGGAGCTGGTGGAACGAGACGCAAGACTTGCACTCTCTCAGCCGAAAGGAGGCAGCAACTCGGTGAAAGCGCATTATCTGCTGGGAAAGGCCCTCCTGGAACTAGGAAGACACGAGGAGGCGAAACACGAACTGCTCAAGTAATGGCGACCTTGCTGCTGCTGGGTACACTGACCCTTGATGCTGCAGATCCATGTCGCTTTCCTCGTCACCCGACTTCAAGAACTACCGAGGAAGGTTGCTATAGCTCTCGGATTGCGCTGGCTGGCCTGACTGGTGACAAGCATCGACGCTGCTCTGTGTCTTGCAAGGAAGCGGATCTGGGAGAAGGAGCAGGTGAAATTTGTTCAGTGTGGATGAGGAAGGAAGGGAAGGTGAAGTCACGTTGAAGGTCAAGAGGAGCGGAAGGGATTACGACTTGCGGGAGGAGCTGCTGCAGCTTGCGGAGAGGTGCCATGAGAGCAAGAAAAGGAAGGGAGCAGACGCGCCGCAGACCTCAGCGTTGGAGGACAGGTCGAATGCGATCTACCTCGTGAGTTGTTCCGCGTGGGAAGAGGAGGATGAGACGAATTGTTGCAGGTCTTCAAGAATTCGGCGCAGAGAAACGAAGTCAGCTCAATCCCCAAGGTCTCTCTCTCCCCCCCACTGTCGAGAGCGGCTCCTCTCAGTTGGACAAGAACTTTGACTTAGACGGAGGAGCTCAAGTCAGCCATGGACGCAAGTACATCTACATCATTGAAGAGAGCATGGGTTTTGTCATCTTGCTTCAAGCTGAGGGATGCCGAGTTGCTCCCAGAATCCAGAAAAATTCTCTGCCACGGACCCGAAGGAATGCTCCTTTCGAACGTCACGGCTTCCCTGAGGAAGAGTAG